ATAAAAGCGTACATCTCGTCTCTTCGTGAATCTTCTAGAAACTCATCACGTGTTACCAGCGTCACGTGACCTCCGCTGTCGTAACACTACTATTAAAAAGTAAGTTATCTGACATTTTTGTTCACCTAATTTTCAAATTTAAAGTGTGATGTACGAAAAATGTTACTTTTCTGATTAGTGTGATCTATATTATGTGTATTTTCATCGTCAAAATAGTTACTTTTGTTTTTAACTTGGGCGAGAAGTCTATTCAATCTGTTTTTCAACTGAAAATAGAGGACGTTACCTTTTTTTTTTTTTGAGACCAGAATGGATACTGTTACGTCTCTGTTAATTTTCCGTAAAAATTCTTTCCGAAGAAACTTTACCGATACAAGTCCTTTCTTAAATAAAACTGGTTTATTCTTTCTGAATACAACTTTGCGATACACTTAATTTCAACAGTCGCGCTATAACAAACGCTGTAATTCACAACGAACGTCTCACGTGCTCGACTCAACAATACTCTGTTCGCAGTTCAATTACACATTGTTTCCGTCGCTTCTCGGACGGTCTTATATATTCAAGACTACCCCATATCTAGTAGTCTCCCGACGCTTCATGAACGTTCTAGAAGCGCGTGGCGTGTTACTAGAGTCACGAGACCTCCGATGTCGTAACAATACTTTCACATTCTGTGTGTATATTTTCTTATAGCAAAGCCACATTGGGGCTCTCTGTTGTGTCCACCGATGGGAATCGCACCTCTGACTTTAGCATTTTAGAACACAATTATAAATAAAAGTACTCTACTCACAACATGAATAAGACTTTCACTAGGACCGTACGCGAGTTTGATTATATCTTTATTGATGTAACTTGTGAATATAGCACTAAATAAATAGTTCTTGAACAAAAAAGTTTTTCAATAAAGGATACCATTTATAATATATAAAAACAATACAGTTTATATTAGCACAATCCGAACACTTTTCCCGTGAAGTACTTTCCAGAAAAATCCTTTTTAAGAAAATTTTCACTTTTTCTAAATTTTTTTCAATGAGTTACGAATGCTATGATTAGTAATTACTAGCACAAACAGCCGCCTTTTGGGCGGCGTTTCAGCTAGTAATTATAATAACAACAATGAGAAGAATCACAAACAGGCCATTTTGAGCAATTTTTTTTCCTTGTAAGCCTAACCTTGTACGTTTCCTTTGTAAGTTATAGTGTTGTTTGAACGGAATCTTTACCATTTAAGATGCTTTTTTGTCCGAAGTTCCATTAGGGTTTTGTGCAATTTCTATTATGAACCACTATCGTGGTTCATGATTAACTTGTAGTTTTGATTTCATTATTGTAATTAATTTTTTATTGTTAAAGGGTTGTGTTGTATTATTTTGTGATTTTTTTTAAATGGTATATTTCATGTATTTCTCATAGTTAAAACGTTGTTTTAAATGCACGTTTGTTTTTATCCACTTCTAAAGACGATGTTTTTCCATTGTTAAAGTGTTTTATTTTTACTGTATTTTGTACAGTCGTTTACAGAGCTGTTTGCATGTTTTTCAGGGGTGAGGAAAAGTTATTCCAGTTTTTTAACCTGTGTAGAAGTTAAACAAAAGGGATAGGGAAACTGTGATATGCAGGTATGTCATACGTTTTTTTACCTTAATTAATATGCAGCATTTTTTTCAAAATTCCTGTGCATATGGGAGCATGTTTAACTCCTGACATATACAACTGGGTCACTTTACTCGATCATCACACAACTCTCCAGCACGAAGGGCAACTGAAACTTCACATATGTTGCATCAAAAAAGACAACGGTATTTTCTGTCAGGTAATCACCCAAGGGTGATTCGAAGTGAGTCACAATCATGTGAGTGATGAGTATACTCTGAGCAGTCTGATCTTCATTTTTACAGATTATTATTACTGAGAACACAGAGAAATAGAACTGCAACTGGAAAAATGAAACTGATAGTTGGACATTAAACCTTGCTTTGGACTCATAGAGAAAGCAAACATAAAATAACTTCAGATGAATATGAATTAAGATATTTTCACTCTGTCTCTTGTGAAAAGCACACTTGCACTTGTGTTAGATTGTGTCTATTATTATTATTAAAAAATAACAATTGTCTGTTTGTGTTTATTTTTGAATTTCCCACAAAGCTACACGAGGGCTATCTGCACTAGCTGTCCCTAATTTAGCAGTGTAAGACTAGAGAGAAGGCAGCTAGTCATCACCTCCCACTGCCAACTCTTGGGCTACTCGAATAGTGGGATTGACCGTCACATTATAACGCCCCCATGGCTGAAAGGGCGAGCATGTTTGGTGGAACGGGGATTCAAACCCGTAACCCTCAGATTGCGAGTAGAGTGCCTTAACCACCTGGCCATGCCGGGCCGATAACAACTGTGATTGTGTTATGATATCCTTCAAAATTCACTCAATTTCAACACTAGAAACATCCCATAGAAGACTGTAAGTCAGTTGTTTTATGGAACATGTATGACCCGTCTCTATGTGATGGATGTGTGATTATTTTCTGACTAAACTGGTCACCCGATACCATAAATATATCAGTGTATCAGCAATTTACTGAGTTCATTTCTCTGTATCAAGTTCAAATTGTTAGCAAAATCCTTAAAAATAGACTTCATGTGCAATGAAAGCTGCATATTTAATCTCAGGTGGAATACATTGAGTGTGGCACTAGCTACTAAGCTTGTTTGCATTACTTCTGCCTCCTTTAACATTCCAATTACCATTCCAGCTAGAAACTAAATAGCAAGTACTGCATTTATGCACCAGCACACTTGCATGTTTGGTATCAATACCTCCTTCTCAAGATCCACACATACAGTCCACTGTCCTCAGGCCCAATCTGGTTAGCATTGAAAGGATTTTGCTTCAGAATTGCTGTTCACAAGTGTAATTTTCTCAGTGGCTCTATCTCTAAGATACCATATCTGAACCACTTAGATTGGAGACTACTACTTTTGCTTAGTGAGTAGTATTCCCAAGATGAAGCTAAAAATATGTCTATCTACTGACACCTAGCTTTTCACCATTTGTGAGATTTCTATTAAATGGCCAAAATGACTGTTTTCCTTAAGTCTCAGAAACATGGCCAAGTTGAGTATGGATTTTGCAGGTCCAGTACTCACTAGAAACTCTGCCTTGAAGCCATGTATTATTATAAGCACATACACAATGTGAAACCAAGCATATGGTCCTCCAAACCAGATCAAACTCAGACTCCACTAAACTAGCTAGAGCAACTGCAGACATAATCTGCTGTGGTATTAGTATGAATGGTACTTGAAGCCAGTAGTCCTGTACTGCAACAGGATATGGACATTCTTGTAACAAGTGACCACTTAAATCACAGCTGAAGCAGAGGTTCCTTCTCTCATACTCGGCTATTAATACATTATTTCCTGTTTCTTTATATTTATGTTTTGTGGTTGATGACTTCTTACAGTAGTTCATAATCATTCCTGAAATTCATGAATGAACTGAAGCTTTTACAAATGATAAATATCATAGAAAAAATGTGAATAAATTTTGAGTCACACATATTTTCCTAGTAGACCAGATCCAGAAAAATACATAAAATTTAAAATTTTATTTTAGACTTTTACATACAAGCAAGATTTATTTCACAATTTTTTTTTCAGTTACAATGAAAATTATGAAAATGTTCATTCAGTATCCAACAAGTTTTCATACTCTTCTGCAATTTCTCATATATTTTTTTAACAAATTAAAAAAAAATCTATCAATAAACACTGACTTTCGCACAAAAACTACAAGAAAACCTACACTCAGTATACTACTGATAGGAAATAAGCAGCAACATATCTGACATCTATAACATAATTTCATGTTACAAATAATAAATCAGGAGACAAGATACTGGTTCAAACATATTAACTTACAAGAAGAAGGTTTGAAGGAAAAGCAAATGAAAAAAGAACTACTTTTATTAAAAAACAACAACAAAAGGCACTATAACTGCTCTGGGAGACTAGCATATAAAGTGACTGAAATTTAAAGTTAATCTATTAAATATAGATGGTTAGAAAAAATTATACCAGGAGCAGAATTTTCCACCTGAAATGTCCACAGCAGAATTCCAGGTAATTAAAACACATACAAGGTAGCCTTCCAGTGATTCACAGTTTGTAACAGTCCACAGCGTAATCAGTTTTCAAACGTATATTTATACTCTTTCACAAAATCATGTACTTTTTAGAGATTTAAATCAGATCTGCCACATCCATGGGCATTTCCTCAATTTGTGTATTGTAGAATTGTTCAATATCACGCAAAGTGCGTTTATCTTCTTCGGTAACAAAGTTAATAGCTACTCCTTTACGACCAAAACGTCCACCACGACCAATTCTGAAATAAAACAAATACAAGTCAGTAGCAAAATAATTTTTCTTTATTAAAAAAAAGGTGTCTTAAAAATGTGTAAATCTATAGCATCAACAGGGATCAGAACTTATCATAATAGAAAAGTGTGATAAACTAAGCAACAAAGAATAATTTTTAAAGACTGAAAAAAGCACATAACATGAAACTGAGTTTTACATATAATGGAAATAAGATAAGTTATATATGAAGTACTTTCCTTTCTCCAACTTAAGGTCATTTAATAATAAAAACAAATTATCTATCTATGTATAATTCTCAGAATTTTTCAAATTATAAATTCCATGTCATTCCTTGCTGATTTTAAACTTTTTCAATGTTATTTTCAGAATGACAAACACATATCTGTCTCATTTAATATATTTGAAAAAATATCTGCTCACTAAAAGTTTATTACACACGTTTAAAAAATACATAAAATACCTGTATCTTTCCTATTAAGTTTGGTGAGGATCTGAGGAAAACTGTAGTAGTAGCATTTTTTTAAATAATTTAAGTTAACAGACACTCACACAAATGGAATATAGACCAACAGAAATGTTTTTTATGGTATTGTTTATAACAAATATAAAATTAGAATATTAATTAAGATAGAGTTCTATAACTTTGATTAAAATACATTTTCTTGTAACCAAGTTCTTTCTAATAAACAGCTAATATTTAAAAGAATTAACATGGTAATGTTGTAAGTGGTACAATAAGTAAAACATTTAGCTAATTCTTTCACATGTAATGAAATAAAAAGCAGTCATGACCAAATTACTACTGGCTGTAATAATCTATTGCTGTTTACTCAACACGACTCATGAAGAGTGACTGTGTTCTTTGGATTTGTATAGTCACTTCAATAGTAAGGTGATCATGTGTATTATAAATGTACTGCAAGAGTTACTCTGTCCGGGAAAACCTGGCAGTGAATATATAAATATTTTTTTGTAGATGACTTTCGGAGCATAAAATTTAGTAGTGTTTATATATTTTATAAAGAGTATTTAGGAAAGAGTTGATGTTACTAAACTGTACTGTATTGTTATTATTACTTTGTTCTGTGCATGTACAATCACATAAATAACCAGATGTTATTAGAACATGATTTACTTACAATGGAGGTAAAGTAATAGCCCCCAAACCTGCATTTTAATGAAGGAGCAATTGAATAAGAAACAAACTTCATGCTAGTTTGATTCCAATCAGTAAAATTATAATTCTATTCCTTTCATGGCCTTGAAAACTGATATATCAAATTCCATGTTTTTCAAGGATTTACCTACCCTGCATGAATCACAATCAATTTAACTTGTATATGAAAACCATTGTACAAATTTACTAAAAAATTTTTTTTTGTAATAAACTTGCAAAGGAATCTATGGGTTACTAACAGTATTAAATATGAATAATAGTCATAGCTCTTACATACTAGGCAGAATGGAATTCCCTAACTTTCCAAGACTTTCCCCTGACCAAAATATGTTATTCTATGACCTTTTGATCTATGCTTGTAATGTATCATTGAACTATTTCCTATAATATGCAAAAATGCAAAATATTATTCATGTATTGTTTAACAAAAGCAAGACAGGCTGTATATCAAGAGTCAGAGTTTGCTTTAATGTATTTTGCAAAGTTTCATTATGATTGGGCACAAATTCTTGAATCATTGATATTTTACCACAACATACACAACAAAGGCAGTTTATCTATTTGTTTACACATTTGTGCATACCAATTACACTTTTTGATTCTAATTTAAATCATAAAAAAAATCACCAAGTTCATCATGGTAACTAGAATAGACACTAATACTTCTACATGCAAATATGTTTATCACAGACAGTGATACTGCACTGAAGTATTACACCTCTCAAATGTCAAGTTTTTCATTTCGGTCTTACATAACGTTTATTATTACGTTACATATAAAATGCTACCATGTAAAATGTTTACTAAAAGTACTCACATTATTTCTATTTGAGTATGGTTCTTGGATTTAGATTCAATATCAAACATACTCAACAACATTAGCACTAAACAATCTCCATAATAATTAATATCTAAATTTCAAGAGTACACAGTAGACTGAAGGCCCAAAACTATTAACAGTTCTGTCAAACTGCTCATGCTCATCTTCAGTATTTATTCCTTCCTACCCCTAGGATCTTAGTTGTTGCTATAAAAACAGTAAATTTTCCTCATACAGTACTCAGATACCAGATGCATTAAATTATAGATTATTAGGTAAAGATGTATTCAGTTATTCATTGGCACAAGTTCAACTGTTTCTATAAAAATTCATGGATAACAAATAGTGCTAGATTCTCAGAAACACTTGCATGTGGAATATTATCAGTTACAGTCAATGAAACATTCTAAGTTTCAATATTTTATTAATTCTATTTTTCTCCAAAATTTGTTAATCTCCAGTTTACTGATATTATACACTGCTATTCATATTTTGCTTTATACAGGTCTTCCTTAACTGTCACCTGTGATATTCTACCTATCTCTTGAAGAAATCTCATTTCAACAAACCCTACACAAAACTATAATATTAATTATAATGTTGTATGCTATAAGCAATGTTTAATAATCTATACTTCATTTTATAGTGAATTAAAATAATTATATATTACTATTTTATATAATTATAGTTATTTTTGAGAGTTAATTGAATAAATAGAAGTACAGATAGGAAATAAAAATAATAATTCAGAAAAACTGTGTATATTATTTCTATCTTTGAACTTTCAGTCTTAACCGAAACAATCAAATTGTTTATATTCATTTTGACATCATTCAAATTTTCCCTACACAAATACACCAATAATATATGTCCAGGCATTACATGTTCCTTCTATGATTACTGACATTGGGATTATTTTATTAATGCTCAAAATTTTGTAAGATCAAAATAACTTATTTAACAGAAATAACCTACCTCTAAATAGTAATTTGTTAAGGTCTTTTAGACTGTAGTAAAACAATACTCCATGACCTAGTTTTATGAAGATGAGATGAAGCTTTGTCCAGAGCTCTTACACTCCTTTTAGGAGGGAATCTAGTTACTATTAAAGTGACCTAATAAAGCTGCTTTTATGCTCCATGAATTAATAGTAAACAAAAAAATCTCCTAGAAACATAAATGAACTACATTAAACTACACAGACTTTTCCTGGTTTTTGTCAGTAAAATGAAATTCTCATATATTGCCTAAGATGGGAATGCAAAGTACAAAATTCACTGACTTGACTTTCTCCAATTTCCCTGACCTACAGAAACCATGAATAGTAGAAAAAAATCATGCATGGCATAATCTTATTTCAAACCAATTACAAACGTTCTAGACTTCTGTCATTTCTGTTACATTATGTAGAAATATAACATATTAGAGCTTTCAATCACCTAATGATACCTGCTTGGAAAAATTATCTCAAACATCATCTCTCTCTCTCTCGTTAAATATCCCATTGTTCTGATACACTACATTTTAATTTCAATTAATTACTATACCATTAAATCAAAAGAACAAAATATAAATTTATTATTATTCAATCATTTTCACATCACCAACACAGAATTAATAATAAAAACTCACCTGTGAATGTAGTTTTCTCGATTTGATGGAAGATCGTAATTAATCACCAATGACACTTGCTGAACATCAATCCCTCTTGCAAGGAGATCAGTGGTGATCAGAACCCGACTTGAGCCTGACCTAAATTCTCGCATGATCACATCCCGCTCCCTCTGATCCATATCCCCATGCTAGATATAGATATAACACAAAGAAATTTTAATTATCATATACATAAACTGATTGTTAGAAATGTTTGTGTATATGTGCATATAATTTTCTACCCTAGCTTTTTATCAAGTGTCCCAGTTCCTGCTATATGTAAAACTAAAATTTGAAACTTTATTAATAGGCTAAAAATCATATGGTTAAATGTAGGTTTTATGCTGTCTCTTATAATTTAACTCAATAGCTAATGCTATTTTCTGTGGAACTAAATAACACATACACCTCACTGAAAATTGGGTAATTTAAACACAAATACTCATGAGAACTTTGTGGTACCTACAAATAAACACTCACCTATTAGATTTCCTCCCACTGAGACAAGAAGAGACTATATATTTAAAATAGTTACTGTTTTTTTTTAATGTGTTTGAATCAATGCACCCACCTGATACATATAGTTTCCCAGTTTTATTTTTTTAACTTATAGAAACTAGAACACTAGTTTTTAAATTTGTTGTATACAATTGCTGGTCTTTTTGTTTTGTTCTTTAACCCTTTCGAGATGGGTCACGGGTGAAAGGCCATGTTATCTCGTCTGTTGACTCACATTCAAAATTTTATTGAACTACTATTTCATGAATTTACGTCAATAAATTTGGTATCAAACTGTAGATTATAATTCAGATTTTAGTACTATGCATTACTTAATTTCTTGATTTAAAAATAAATATTAAAAAACAAAAATAAACATTGATTTTCGTGTGTCACGTGGTATGTTGAATGCAGCACTGGTTCAAATTAGATGTTTGTGAAGTCAAAATACTAAGTCTATAGTTTCGTGCGAATTAGGAAGTCAAACTACTGATATTGACAAGCTAGAATATAAAATAAGAACCTCTTATTTTTTCTAGATTGCTAAGATATTGCTCATATACTAAATATACAGTAGCCCCCACCCACCTCTTTCCATTTTTGGAAAGGCTCCCTTATATATACTTATTTCTATATGTGACATGAATAACTAATCAGAAGCTCAGTTTGTCCCCTAGTGGCTTTCTCAACCAGTTTAATGGGCTTGGACGCCATTTATTTCTTTTGAACCAATATTTCAAGAAGGTAAGGTGTGTCTTTAGTCTGCTCGAAATTTCATATTTTTTAAGACTAAAATATGTCTTAGTTACTAAGCTTGATAAATTATAGTGGAATTCTATGGTATTGATATGGTAATTTATTATTTTTTATTTATTCAAATGTATATATATAAAACCTTAAAAAAATATTTTGTTTCATATCTTCCACATGCTAAATAGTTAAAGGCTTAGCAACCTACGTCAAGCAGCAACCGAGTACAAAGGTCATAACTAGAAGAGATAATTGTTTGCTTTACTTCTTTATTTAGTATTCAAAGTTTTAAGAAAAATAAGTTTAAAAACTTATTTCAAAATAGCAATACATATATAACGTATAATAATTGAAATGTAACTGTATTTTACAAAATATTAGTATACTAAAATACAGACAAGACAAGTTACTTTGTACAAACCAAAGGTCAGTTTTATGTTATTGGATACGGTAACATGAGTGCATGTGTACCTCGTCATTGTAACTTCTGTATTGTTAGCCAGGCATGGCTGAAAGTGAATATAATAAAAATAATAAATACATATGAATGTATAATGTTATGAGATTTAAGGTATTTAGTCTAAACATTTATGTTTTTGTGTTATAATTTGTGTTCATTCTAGATTGAAAAAGGCATAATTCATATTTATTTCCTAATTTTTTATGGTGGTTATGAGTTCAGTCAAATCTACCAAACCCATACAGAGATTCATTACTGAAAATAACAGATAAAATATAGTTTTTTCTTAAGAAACGTTTGGTAACTATCTGGACATTATAAAGATTTCACATGTGAAACTTGAAAATTTTCTGATGCATAAAAGTATTTTTAATTTTAAAATGAAAATTAATTTGCATGTCAGATAGACAACATGCAAAAAGAAAAAAAAGGCATGGGAAAATCATTGCTTTACAAACCTTAAGACTTAATGAAAAAAAATTTGATATTTTTTTTCATTGGAAGCACTGTAATGTTTACTAATAATGTGCCAAATCTCATTAACATTCGCTTACTAATTTAAAAGTTATAGCATGAAAACTATATGTACAAAATGATTATCAGGTCAGTCCCAGGAACCGAGTCCATGCTTAAAGAGTTGATATAGGGATTTCAAGAACAGATTTAAGATTTAGTTTCTTTTAATTTCTCATAGCAATTACTCAATAATTCAACATGTGGTTCATGACTGGAAGAGTTTTTCCTCGCGAAACTGTCATTTTATAAGTAAAAAGAATGTATCAAGGTATTTATTCCAGAATTTACAGGTGAATGTAATTTTAAAAAATTTCTTGAACAGATTATTGGCAAAAGAAATTCCTCTTTTTCATAAATACAGTTATCCAAAGAAAATAAGAAAAACTGAAAACAAATTTCTATGTTAAATAATTGTTTACATAATGAATTTCCAATATCATTTCCCCCAACATTTTTCATAAATACAATAAATTAATTTTTGTCTTGCAAAACATTTTGTTCAATAATATTTTCTGTATTATTTAAAAGTTTAATTAATTACACAGGCATGAGATGATTTTGTTGTCTTAAAATTTTTCCATGTTCTACAGTAATTACTGTAAGCTGAATCCGAAAATGATATCCATTTTTCTACGTCACGTACAGATTTTTCATAAAACGTCATAATGCAATACATAAAAAGAAAGACCACAACATGTAGTTATGAGACTAAAAGATGTATATTTCACAACAAAAATCAGGATGAATGAGGATGCATATTCATTTCACATCGGTGTTCTTTTTTGTTTGTATTTTTTTTAATAAACATAATAATACAAAATGTTCATTGTGGTAAACGAAATAGTAATTTGATCTAAATAAGTTTTAAAAAATTGTAAAAAATCTTTACGTGATAAAATAACGAATATTATTTTTGAAATTTGCTTGGCTGAATTATAGAAAATCCATTATTGAAACCAAAACAACTTTTATGAAGTTTAAATTCGCAGACCTGTGTTATAGCTGATTCAATAAAATATCATGGGGGGGAAATAATACTTAGATTAAAACCATAAGTTTATAATTTTCAGACTTTAGTCTAAAGAAGCATCTGATACAAAAAATTTTGTTTTGAAACTGGTATCAAAAATATAACTAGACACATACATATCATAACCAAACATAAAATTGACATTAAACTAGGCAATTAATTTTGAGCAATTTGCTAACTTCCCTGATTCATGTCTTATGAGAAAGAAAAAATGCAACTTATCATATACAAATAAGTAGAGATAACTCACCAGAGCTGACACTGTAAAGTCCTTGAGATGCATCTTCTCAGTCAACCAGTCAACCTTTCTTCTTGTGTTACAAAATATTACTGCTTGAGTAATGGTCAATGTTTCATAAAGATCACACAAAGTAGCCAACTTCCATTCCTGTAAAGGGATTAAGATATAAGAAACAAACTTTATAGCAACATCGTTAACACAATATCACTCAAAATACCTGTCTAAGATGTTTTCAATTTTATAAGTAGTAAAAATGTGTAAAAAACTGATACATAAAACCATAGGTTACACACACATATTTAGCACCTACATCTGGTAAATTGTGTGTATTTGTGTAACTACATCATAGTGATAGTGGAAACAATCCAAACATCTCTTTATAGCCTTTGTTTGAGTCTTCAGAAGTGTAACACATGCGAGTTTGAAGTTTTGTGCCCCCATGAAGAAAGCTATTCACCTTAAAACTTCTCTCAAGATTTACCAGTTTCAAGTTTCAGACAAGTAATGAAATATAACATGTCCTTTTGTTTTTATGGCATATCTGGAAAATAAACCTGGTACTGGGAGAGTTGTTTATGTATAAATGTGGTAAGAAAGAGTTAAGTTTTTAGATCATTTATCAATTTTAAACTATACTAATATATCAAGATTCTGCACCACCATACTGTACAATACACTGCACTTGTCTCTGTATTCTTCTAACTTTAGAAGAAACATCATTGTGATGCAATGCTGTGTTGTAAAATAACACTTGCCACAATGCCACACGAAATGAACTGAAAGGAGATCAAAGAAATATTTCAGCAATAATTGTTTAGTAATGTTTCATGAAAATTATCTATTAGCGTAAATCCTCTCAAGTAAAAGATATTTCATGTATATTAAAAAAAAGTACACAATACTTTCTTCAAAACTTAGTTTCAACTTCAAAACAATCATTTAACTAAGTTATATTTCTTTTTCTCCTCATGCAATAAAAACATGCTATTCTGGTCACATCCTTTACTCTAAATATTCCATGCACTGAAGACATTAAATTGTGATTAACAGAACAAATAGAATAGGTTTATGGCCTTCTTTGGGTGATATGGTCAAGTAAACATTACTAACGGAGAAAGATACACAAAGTGAAGATAAGTATATAACATGAATGGATAAATTGTTAAAAGTGTTGTTCAAACTAAAATAGATCATAAAACAATTGAAGAAATAATGCAGCAATAAAATCGGAAAAATACAAAAAAATTGAACACATCAAACAATGACTTTATAAAAAAGTTTTAATAACAACAATATTAATATAATCATGTATTAACCCTCTTACTAAATGTAGGTCAAAGTGTGCATGTCACGACCTTTTAGAGACTTACAATCAAAATTTAATTAAACTACTTTATTATCATTGTATATGAATAAACTTGGCATCAAAATGTAGTTAATAAATCAGACTTTAATATTATATAAGTTTTAAGTTCTTAGTTTTATAAGGAAATATTTTAAAAAATCCTCAACCTCCCCTAGCATAAGAATTCTGACATTTGTTTTTTAGGTCCTCCCTCTTCTTTAATTTATTTACCAGCTCTCTGAGAAATAAACAATTTAATGTAAATTACTCATTATAATACAAATATTACTAAAGCAAAGCACAATTTCTATAGCCTTCAATCTCATTTCTTTACAAAGCCATAAATTAGAAAATCAAATCCACTTTCTCAGCCCACCTGTCACATCCTCTTTCAGAAATTGCCAATAGTTTTCACTGAAATTTTATACTATATTACTTACAACCAACAAAAAGGCAAAGTTTTTATCTATCAAGTGATATATTATGCTGTTTTCTGTACAGAGTATTGTCTATTTCACCTCCAGTTTGAAAATTTCTAACATGGTATTCAAGATTAGCTAAATTTTTAAAGGCTCTTATCATATAGTTCGAAAAGCCAGATAAATTATTATAGTTATAGGACATTGTTTGCTTTGTGCATGTTATTAGTCTGTGTTCTTAAGTGCAATATTTAATTATTTAGTGTAATCGTACCATTAGTATTTAAAAAGTAGGCTTAACTTTCATCGACAGTTGATAAAAAAACAAAAACAAGAGGACACAGGTAAATACCATATTTCTGTTCTTAAAGTAAAATGTTTATTTTTTATTATAAAAATAAATAATGTTAAAATTAGAAACTTATTAATTAAAATTTGGTATGATAATGAAAAAAATAGAAATAATTCTTCATGAGGTATACTCACAAGCAGCTCATGCATTATGTAATTCAGTATGGTAACTTAAGCTATGCATTCACTGAGTGATTTACAACTTGTGTGGTGGGATTATTAGTTAGACACAAGCCAGAGGGCAATAAAACAATAAAATTTTAAGTATAAACAAATGGATACTGTTACAAGCTTTAAGCTATTTAGGATAAATAATTGCAGTTTTCTGTTACAATTTGCAGTCATTTTACAAATAAAAAAGGATAATTTAAATTTATTTCATATTTTGTATGAGGTCAGTCAAAATGACCAAATTTGTATAGAGTTAGAATAAAGAAAATAACAGATAAAATATAAAGTTTAACTAAAAAAAAGTTTGATATTTATTTAGGAGGTTTTAGATACTACACAAATCAAATTTAACAACCTTCAGATGAAGACAAGTCTCTTTAATCTTAATATGAAAATCACTTTGCACTTAGAGCAGTCAACACTCTGACTCCATATATTCATGGACAAATCTTTAGTAAAACTACTTAATTAAAAAATCAAATTTTTTGTGTAGAAAAAGACTTATAATGCCAAAGTTTGTGAAGAATCACAAAACATATTAAAAGTTACAGTATGGATATTCTGATGGTCACTCTGGGGTTACGAACTTGGTCAAAATGGCCAATCCTGTTGCGAGTGTGTTAACAGACATTGAATTACAAATGTTTTTGCACATCCAAGTTACTTCAGCTATTTTGTCAAGAATTTTGTAGTTCTTATCAACACTGTTATGAGATCCATGAATTTACATAGGTAGGTTTTAACGTCATGTACTTCTGACTTGAATTATGATAACTCGTTGTTTTTTTTTCATTGCAAATGCTTTGTTTGGGTAGACTCCACATGAAAATTACTTAACATCGCTGACTGCATTTTTGCCAGATTTGGTACATTTTGATATCCTAAACAAAGTAAGGGTGTGAGTCACAATTGTGATGTGCTAAGCAATTATGTAAGTGAATCAGGTATTAAACTGTTGTGAAGTACGCACTGGAGTAATTTCTTCAATTTGTTACAAAGCATTAGAAACAATATGTAATGTGGTCAGGACATAAAGGTTTCATTTACTTTCATCAATACACTTCAGTATTGTTTAAGACATCATGCATTAAAGTTTGAGTATTGTTTTATCCTTGTTCTTTCTTTATTTTTGTATTTCACTTGACCACTTAACTTTTCTTAATAGTATATTCATTGTACTTATATATATATATATGAAACCACTACAAATTTTCATTTGACAAAAGGAAATTGTATGCATATTGAACCAATTACATTTCACTAACACAAACCTCACGTTCTACTGCCACATAGAATTGCTTAATACCCTCCAGAGTTAATTCTTCCTTTTTAACCAGAATTCGAATAGGATCTCTCATGAAACATTTTGTGACTTCTAACACATCCACTGGCATTGTAGCTGATAAAAGAATTACCTGGATTAAAAAAAAGGAATAGTTTAATAAAATAACATTATTCTTTCAAAGTCTTAACAGTATAGAAAGTTCTTCAACTTCATTCTTAGTTAACATCTAATATTTTAAGTTAGATGTTAACATAAAAAACTATTTCAGTAAACGCTACTGATATACTTGTACATAATTAAACAATTCTTACACTGACATATCAATAAATTACACTTTTTTTTATAAATTCCAGTGTTATCTTTCACTCATAAAATTTTTCAGATCACATCCATCAATGAAGCCAAGAAAACTAAACATTTGATAAAGGAGTGCTATCTGACACAATTCACATATTTGATTAAATTTCCTTTACAAGCAACTTCATAAAGTGTCTCAATCAAAAGTTCTGCCTATTAGGAAACCAAAAAAGGTGATTGACATAAAACATACTGGTCAGAAAACACATATGAGAAACTTGCTACACACATCAAGTGAAACGTTTAAGAAGTTTGGAGAACTGATTATAAAGGAACCAGTATAAAAATGAAAAACAAACCATTATATACAACTTAGAAGTTAAAATTTATGTTTCATAACAAACAAACAAATTTTTAATATCTTGTGAAAAACATGTAAATAGTTTGAATAATTAAAGCATAAGTCATTTTTACTTTACCAATTTATTTTCAAAAATATTCTTTATAAGGTAAAAATAAATGCATACAATTTTCTCAATGATGAAATAGCAAGATTAATGAAGCTTTTACCTAATTTTGCAAACTGACACCCTCATAATGTAACTTTCAAAGCACATATATTCTACACATACTCAGTGACAACCTGTTTTCATACATTTTTCTTTTTTTCTCTCAGTGCCATATATATCTGCGATTCCCAGAATTGTGCCATTACTCCCTGATATCTTCAATGATTTAACCAGTGAAATTCTTGGTAGTGATGTGGACTAGAACCAAGAAAGAATTTTTAAATTCTAAATTCTTTATTCACTCCTTTAGGATTTTTGACGTGAAATAAAGCATATGACAGCATTTCAATCACCATCATATTCACGGCCAACAATGTGTTTTGTTCACTACCAGAGCTCATCTGGCCACTTAAGCAAAATTACTGACCAAACATTTGCTCAACATGCATCAACTACTTTCTCTTACCTAATGTTTACTACTGCCATATTCAAAAGAATGGTTACAAGATTGAAACAGAAAAACAAACAAACTCTTTCTAACTGTACAAATAATAGCACATAGTTTTGAAAACTGCTTTGAAAGTTAAAGAAAGATGGGTGGGACTTTTGTTGTGAGATGATAAAATATATTTATATCTTAACAAATGGAGAAGTATATTTGACCTTGCTTTTATAGTTATGGCTTGTAGTTATACTTAGTTAGAGGCTATTATACTGATGTTATACAAACTAACAGGGAGAAATGAGAGCACATGAATGTCATGTGATAAGAAAATGAAGATTAATCATTTTTTTAATATTTTCATTTAATATTAAGAAATTCAAACACAGATAATATAAAAATGTGACTTATAAACTCTGATGCCAAATATATTTACACACATTGATAATAAAGTTGTTTAATAAACTTTTTAATGTAACTCTGTAAAATATTGTGACATGCACACTAGTCAAATGGAATGAGGCCATATAGATCCTATATGGAAAATGGAAAGGGTTAATGGTATTAAAAACAAAAATTATTAAAATTTATTACCTGAATATCTGTGCCAAGTGTTCGAAAAACATCATAAATCTGGTCTTTGAATCCTCTTGACAACATTTCATCAGCTTCATCTAATACAAAGATCCGTATGTGTTTTGTTTCTGGGCAAAAAAAAACCAAAGAAAAACAGAAAAAGAAAACATAAGTAAACTCCCAAGTTAATTTATCAATGACCTAGTGCCAAGCTCAAGTTTTTCCCCATTTTCAAGAATATATTAAGAATAATTTTTTGTGCTCATAACTTTCATCGATAACCACAAACACTATTTGATACTATTAAGGTAAATGCTACAAATAAAAGCTGATCATATTTGGGAAAAGTTTTAGCCCTTGCATAATAGCAAAAAATATTCATACAGCTCTTTAAAAAAGATACAGCCACATTTCAAATCCTAAATATGATACAACAAAAATAAAAAATTACATCTTTTGATATATTAAGTAGCTTTTTAGAGTAATTTCTTCCTAAAGGATTAACAAAAATCTTGATAACGTGTTTACAAAACCTACACTATCAGAAGAAACATGTAACTAACAACATTTCCTAAGCATTACAAAAGTTATATTACATGTGAAATTTTCACTGTGCATCAGTTCTCTACCAAAAGGTAATCTAAAACTATTCCCAAGGTATGAGAATTACTAAAATAAACTTTTTTTCTTAAAAGATTATTTATCACAATTTGCCCCTACCAGCTTGTGTATCTAATCCTTAAGTAATCATCAAAGATTGTATCCATAATTAGCAGATAATATATAGTAACCTTAAAACAACTTTAATTACTAATACAAGTTTGTTAGCATTTTTGATCGGTATGACAACTGACCATACCACAAAACATGATGTGTAGAGCAGCAATTTGATAAAAAGAACCCAGAATCGCAACTGGAATCAAACTGTGTGTGGAATGTTCTGAAAATTAATGTGATTGGTAGAAATAACAAAACCCAACAATTTCACTAAATATGAAGTTATTATAGCAAGCAAAGTGATGGTCTATCCTACCAGACGTGTAACAGCAGATGGTGGTAAATGTTAGTGAGAGTTCAATTGTGATTAACACCAAAGATGGTTGGATTCACTAATAAAATTGAATTCCAGCTCAAGATATGTTTTCCAAATACTTTTAATAATATCTGTGTGTATGTCTGTATATATATATATATATATATATGTATGTATACACACACACATATACATATATATATTGCCAGAAGTTATGTTTTTAATATTGTAATTTAGATTTCAGCTAAAAGGCATATAATGTTCAGATTGAGTTAGTCCTAGAATATTCAGGAATCTTAATGAATGAGATCCTTTGCAAAATATCTAGCACAAGAATTACATTATAAATACAGATGAGAAAATCACCTACTTATGTAAGCTTGCAGTGAAACAGAAGATAAAAGACTAGTTCTCTAGGTGGTAGAGTGAATCAGTCAGTGCTGGTTTAAATATTTTAATTTTAAAGAACATTAAGGAGGAAATAAAACTAATTTGTTACTGTTATGTCGACTGAACATTGAATTATTTTCACCAGATAGTTTCAAAGAATCTACCAACTAAAGAAGAAACTATATAACAATATATAATCCTATAAACAAATTTGCATGTAGTACTTGTATATCATTTGGAAAAAAGTTGCATACTTTAGACTTCTCAAGCATACTCAAGCTGTTCCACAATATTCCAAATTTAACTTTCTTTTTATCTCTTGAAATCTCACCAGAATTAAGACAAAAGCACAATTATGCTGTTTGAAATATATATAATTTCAATAACATTTTTCAGCACAAATAACTCCAAGCATGTACATTTTAAAAAGATTAAAAATTTATTTACTCAAAGCATTCCTATTTATCATATCAAATACTCTTCCTGGTGTTCCAACAACAATATGCATTCCAATATCTAGTTTTCTCATGTCCTCTCGGATGTTGGTGCCACCAATACACGCATGACACTGAGCTCTCATATGATCACCTAGAGCAATAACTGCCTTTTGGATCTAAGAAAAGAAAAATATTTATATAACATTTATATTTACATGACATGTTTATAAAATGTGCACCTTTTGTAAGATGATTTCAAAGAAAATCCTAAAAATCAAAACCAACGTATCAGAAAACTATGACTTGTCTTGGGGGACCAGAAGCACAATAAGAATCACAAATTCTTTTCACAAAAGTGTAGACACTGTTAGAATGTTTCCACACTATCACAAATGGTATTCAGTATTCTTTTCATAATTCTAAATGAGATTAGCAAGCCCTAAATTAAGCTACTGTATATAATATTAGTTCACATGAAATAGTTGATTTCTGTTAAATACTTTAATTGTGTACATTTGCCACAATCACATCATTCACTGCAAAAACATTAAAATATTTTGTTTGAATAAAGTCAGGTGTTTCTAGTAATAATTCAAAAGCCCAACATTTATGGAAACACAGAAAGCCTGTACATTATCAATAACATCAAATATGAGATAAAGTCTCTTGTTTACAACAGAAAAATACCACTTTCAAAGTTTTAGTCATCCACTAACCTGCTGAGCCAATTCTCTTGTTGGTGCCAGAATCAAAGACTGACACTCACTGAGCCCTGTGTCTATTTGTTGAAGTATTGCAATTGAAAATGTTGCTGTCTTACCAGTTCCTGACTGGGCCTGGGCAATTACATCACGTCCTATAAATAAATAAAAATATTAAGAGAAGAAATGAGAAAAATTAAACATAAAATTCTATGAGCACAATAATAGTAACTGATCCAAAATACAATGTTCATATTCACATATATGTCAAAAGACAAGCAAACAAAAGTTTGTGAATTTCAAATCCAATATTAAAGGGGAAAAAAAGCTTAAAATAAGCCAAAATGTATTATAAATAATTTAATGGACACTTTTAAACTATCAGTCCTCACTTTAGTCAATATTTCTCCATTGTCCCTTGTTAACCATTCAGATTCTAGTCAACAGCTCCACAAAATTTTTTACAATGTCAGATTATGGCTAAGAAATAAAATCATACTTCAAATCGAAGACTGAATGGATTCAATGGAAATTTCCTGAAGGCAACTGATCTAAAGAATTAAGGACTGTACACTACTAGTAAACCAGAACAAACTGTAGAAGTGAGAAGAACATATGGGTGTTCTGGCCTAACTGCATACTTTAGTTTTAAGTGTTGCTTGATCTGCATTAATACCAAACATAAAAGTGTAAAAGAAACTGTATATTTAGATATGTTACTCTGTATCTGACACAAATTTTTGAAAACTTTTACATTAAACAAGTTAACAGTTGAATGAGATCTGATTTTCTAAAACATTAAAGAACTACAAAATGAGTCATGCCTAAGAAATTAACCAATTCAAAATTTCTTTTGCTATTATATATTTATTGCTACACTTTTAATCAATATCAATCATAATCATACAACTGTTACAGTGTAATAACACAAAAATAAACAGAAACTGCAGACTGGCTAATTCTACAGTTTGCACTTTAAACCTTTAATGCAACTTGCAAATCAATCAAAAATGCAACTTATAAAATTATATGTTTTGCAAAAGTATTAGCCAAACAACCTTACTTAGAAGAATAGTTATAGAATTTCAAATTCAAGTAAGTATCTACAGAGCTTTAAAAAGTCTAAAGAACACAGTTAGGAATTTCAAATTATTCATTATTAAGCAAAGTGATTTCATGTTTCCACTAAGTTTTTATAATAACAAAAAATATAAGAATAAACACATCTGAGGCTCATATAAATATTATGATCTTCTTTGCAAACTGAGCTAAACATTAAATACTTAAAAAGACATTTTTTTTGTTTTTCAGAAGAGTAAACCACTACAAGGAATTGAATGAAAAGTACCTAAAGGGCAACAAAAACAACAAACAAAATCATGTTTTTCTTTCTCTTTTTTAATTCTAGCATCTACTTTTCTCTACTAAACTAACTGATACCAAGTAATCCAGAAATGCTGTAAACATTTGAGAAAAAACTTATGTACACAGGAATGAAAGAAAAAACAAAATATTAACATCCAAAATGCACTGAACCACTCACAGAAGAATTTTGATGTGGCATGTCACTCAAATGTCTTCGCGTATTTACGTTTCTATCTGTTAAAAAACAAAACTACTCACTGTTAAATTAAAATTTTACATACTCTGTTCTAAAACATACCTTGAACCCTCTACAGTACTACTACTAATACTAGATAACCTGTGAATAATATTTATACAGTATGCAAATACTAGTCTTGTCACATTTTGCAAGATACTCCTCTGCCTGTCACTAGATAATGGATAATTTCTTTTCTCAACTGAATTACTGATTTTATGAGACTGAAGGTCATGCCGCTTATTCAAATCTTGTTTGTTTGTTTGTTGTTAAGTGCAAAGCTACAAAATGGGCTATCTGTACTGTGCCCACCATGGATATTCAAACCTAGTTTGTAGCATCATAAGTCTTCAGACTTACTGCTGAGCCATTGTGGGACTCAACTGACTGTAAATAATATTGTTATGACAGCGGTAGTCACATGATGCTGGTAACACGTCATGATATTCTAGAAGGATCGGGGAACATCATGAATAATCCAGTATGTGCTAGGCACCCTCTATTCCTGTATATAAGTGCACCAGATAACGTGAGACAAATTAATCGGAATTGAATTGCAGACAGGCAGAGATAAAGACGGACAATTGAGTCAAGCACGGTAGTGACCGTAAGTAAGTGCGTGAATCATTGTGAATTATAGCGTGTGTTTAAAGTGACTGTGGAAATTAAGTGTATTACAAAGTTGAAAGAATAAACTAGTTTTATTTAAGAAAGGACTTGTATCACTAAAGTTTCATCTGAAAGAAATTATACGGGAAATTAACAAATGACCAGAGACATAACAATATGATAACATCCCAGTTCATCTACTCCCATTGGACTAAATGAGAATAAACCTAAAAAAATACAATCATCAGTTCGTCAAATATAGAATAAGGTTTATATATAAAAATCACTTTGGCACAGTTTTAGAAACAAAGCATTTTTGTATTTATACTGTTTACAATATGATGCAATAGACTTTTAAAACATTCACAGATCAATATTTTTTAGGTACATGCACACATTCACTACAAATATATCACATAAAAAAACTAGCTTGTTCTTAAGAAATTATACCACCACTTTAAAGTTTTTTCATTTACTATAAAGTGGCATACCAAGATGTCATGATATAAAACTGTTTAGTGTAGATATTATTGATTAATTTATTTTGTGAGTGAATATTTTATGATTGTTTAGTATTTTTTATAAGAGAGTTAAAAGCAGACGATTGTTGGAAGTCGTGTTCACAATTCATTGATGTTGAGACTATCTAACATCATGTACGATACACTGATGTCAAGAATATATATTTCTAGAAGGTGGGCAGATGATTAAGTGATAAACATATATAATGTGTGATGAGCAGAAACAACAAACAGACAGACAGATAGTTAGTAGCAGAAGAGAGTAAAGTTACAGCCAAACATAAGTTTGGCATGAAGTTAACTTCCGTAGAAGTGATAGACCTAACATTTAATATGTGACGTAAGACTAACAGTAGAAAAGGAGATAAGAATAATAATTTATTCTGTTAAAGCATGATTCTAAAGTAACTGAATCAGCCTGAGTGTACTTTGACAAAAGAAACAGAGAATATTTTGAAGAAAGAAGACCAAACGATTACTGGAAGAGTAGTATATGACTGCAGTAACTTGTGCCACAATTGTAAGTGAATCATACAGTACATAGAATATTAGTGTGATAGTAAGAGAGAAGATAGTTTGGCTTGTCAACTGAATAAGCCTAAATGGACTTTTGACAAGAAGAGAACTGTATATATATATATGGTGTGAAGAATTTGTGTAACATATGTTTAACTTTTTCTGAATATATATATTATGTTGAAAAGAAGTGAAGTGCGAGCTGTTCATTTACTGTTGAATTTATCACCAACAAGTCACAGACACCTACT